CATTACAGAGCTGCTTTATTTTAACTAGGTAATATCTGTCATTCAACTTCCCCACCCGTTTTAGGTGACTACTACCCACCGCTCAACATCAACCGCTTACCGCCCGCCGCCTGCCATCCACCGTCTACCAACTGCACCCACCGCCCACTACCCACCGCCCACCGGTATATCCGGTCCCCACCAAGTTGTTGCTGCTGCCGTCGCTCCCGAACCCCGGGGTCGGTGCGGGGGTCAGACGCGCGGCAGCACAGCCATCTATCGATGCTGTGCGCGTGACTGGCAATGCCCTCCGGGTCTGTAAGCGGGCCGCTGTACATATGTGATTGAGCTGCTTGGCGTCTGTTCAGCGCCGGCGATGGCGCTGTTTGCGTTGCCATGGCAATAGGGATCGCTGCTGGAGTGAAGCCTGCGTGTATTGCTCTATGGCTTTCGTGTGCGTGTCACACCGCGACAAGTGGCTGTGAGCCGTTAGAAAGAATGTTTTAACAGTCGTCGGACGGACGGAATATTTCAAAGAAAAATATTTTGGAACGAGATGCGCCAAGTGAAGTTAATCACAAATGCAATTATGTATTTAGGAATATGGCATAATGGTATGTCCATGTATTTTAATGTTAAGTAAAGGAATGCCAATGAAGACTGATCATCAGGTGATGAGACCAACGAACAATTTACACGTCCTTTGTTCATTGCCTTGCGAGCTGCTAAAAATAGGAAGTTTCGCAGTCCTACACACTTTTGCAAATTAGCGTGTGTCTATTTAAGAAAACGTTTTTGATTGATACATTTTACATAAGAAACTACCCTTTCTTTAAATACCGAACTGCCTAGGTCAAACTTGCAGCTGCAAAAGGTCATCACGAAACGATAAAAGTATTGCGAATTTCTCACGATTGTAATTACTGTAACCAATTATCTTTTCCTCATTTACCTCTCTCCAGATCTGCTCTAATGGAGTCTGAGCGGCGCAGAAACTTTTCATTGAGTCTGAAACATTGTCGTGCATCTAGGGAGCTTCTTCGGGCGTCGTTACCATGCAAATGGCATCTGCATCGCATCAGACAAAGATTTGTTAGCATGCCTTCGCCCAGTAACCTTTGAAGCTGTGCCATTACAAGAGATCGGGTGGATGAATGCGGCGTTTGACTCGTGATTAACAAATGCAGAAGATTAATTGTGTGTACATGGGAGTTAGAGGTGCATGCTTAGGCGGAGTTAGTGGTTTAGTACACTGTCTAACAATGAAGACGGTTTATTCGTGATAGCTTGGTTGGGCGCCTCTCCGGGTGATGCTGACTTTTGCTGACTTTCTCTCTCAACAATCCAACCGCCTCAGCAGAGTTGATATTTTGCTGAATGATGACATGATCTCTTTTTACTCTAGTCAAACTTGATAAAAATAACATTATTCAACATTTTTTGTGTGGAATGGGATACGTTTTTACAGATGCGTCATCCTTACCCTTTCTTTCTAGTCAGAATTACCGGTCGCTGCGTTATAAACCGGTTGTATGTGTGGTCGGTGAGCTTCTCTGTTTGAGATGACACATATCTCCGCCGGCGGCTAGGTTAGTATGACGTCAGTGGACTACCGGGGCCCCTTCCTGCGCCGCTGTGCGTTCCTGTGCGGCCGCGGCGCGCACGCACAGACACCCAACGGCCGCCGACCGGGTTGTGCAACATCTTGCCGCGGCCGGATTTATGCCGAAGCGGCGGGAAAACAGCCCACTTGCGCGCCGCTCGGCCCGCGGCAGTAGTGCGAGGGACCGCAAACGGCGCAGGCGGCGGACGGTGCGGCGGTCTGCAGCGTGCACCCGGTGCAGAGAACGGCAGTGCGAGCAGTGGGGACTGGCTGTGCGAGCAGTGCGGACCGCAGTGCGAGCAGAGCGGTAAACGCAGTACCGACTCAGACCGGCGCGGTGAGGGGTTAGTGCTGAGTGAGGACGGACCAGGGGTGCGTGAAGAGCCTGTGGAAGTCACAGTTGGACGACAGGACGTCTGTGAAGTGTGACACTGCTGGTGGAGGACCCGTGGCAGCGCCACTGAGCGCGGCCGCTAGCGGATTGAGTGTGGGCGATCTGACAGAGCAGAACCCCACGCACAAAGATGCCCATTCTCGTTATCGAGTAAGTGTGGGCGTTTGAGCCGGAAACACGCAAGGGTAATGACTCCTGTGGGACTTCAGAGGTTGCGACACCCTCAAACATCCTGGGCGGTTTTTTGGTGAATCGTGCATACTTGAAGCTGGTAATTGCCATTGTTATATATGTCGTTTGTCAACAAAGTTGGGGAAGTTATTCAGCCAGGCTTCATTTGGTGAATTGTGTTCGTTAGTGGTGTTCTTTTTTAACAATTCTTCTTTAATTTCGCCCTGAATAAGCACTCTGTGCGCTAAGCTGTCGGACAATGGCTGACCAAGCTCCAGGAGCGTTATTCTCTGCGGAATGAGCTGTTCCCAGTCGGCGACCCTGACCGACCCCGTTCAGGCGGTGATGGACGGCGTTTCGCGGCTGACCGCTCGGCCAAAATGCCGCTATTTTCGGCCGCCGACCGCCGGCAGTCGCGCCGCCGCGCCGACACGGCGATAGCGTGCGAGCGGCGGCGAGAACGCGGTCGGCGGCTCGCGGTGCCGACATGCGCTCCAAGGCTGTGATCTCTAAATTATAGCGCTGTTTTGGCCGACAACACCGACAACTGTGAGGCATTTGTCATTTGGTAGGTGGTCGGTTTAATAAGGAATATTTTTATTTGCTTATAAAATATTGTGCATCGAGCTTATTCCTACCTTGCTCGATGCTCACTAAGAAAGGCACTTACGTGATGCATGGGGGCTCAATTTGTTGTATGTCTGCTCAATTTATCATCGAAATTATACTCCATCGAATCATGAGAGCTGCAGAACCATAAGGAACTAAGCGTTGTGACAGGAAAATTAACGAGCTGCGGCCGGGGAGACGGCGGATCCTGCACCAACCGTCCTGACCTTGGCGTTTGCCGGCCGCTCGCTGCAGTCTCGGGCAGCGAACAGCTCGGCGGCATGCAGTGGCTACCCGGCCCCGCGGGCGTCATTTGTACCGAGTCGCCGTACATGGGACTCAGCCGTGAGCCTTTCCCACCGTATTACCCGCTGCCGAATGAGTGAGGTTAACAGCACCATCTACATGCCGAACTGCGAAGAACGAACCTTTTACAATGAAACACCCACAAACAGAAATGTCAGGCTTACACCGAACGTCTCGCCGGCATTAGAAACTGAAGCATGACAGTCCGTATGTGTGCGAGCTTCGAAGTTCAAACAGGCTGACGAATTGGAGCTGAAGCTGTTTGGACTTGTCGGGCGGGCGGCGCCAAAGGTCATTGTTCGCTGCTCGGTAAGCGGGGCACTGCAGCGGGCTGTGCAAACAGCTCACTGACGTGCCGGGGAGCGCCGGGCAGCGGCGGGGCTCTGTACCAGTACGTAGAACTGCCGAGCTGAGCCGCTCCACCAGCGTCCCTGAGAGCTTATTGCTGGCAGATGTGCCCACAAGGAGATCTCGAAACGCTTCCAATTTTGGGAACCTGGCTCTTGCAGATAAGTTCAACTTCTGAAATACGACTTATTCAATTTAGCCTATCGATTTATGTGCCAAAAGTGAGACAAACTTATTTAGGCTTGGCACGACCTTTCTCAGGCTCTCGCTTGTGTGGGTGCGCCAGGTGTCTTAGGTATTTTGTTCCGGTGCACTGCGCCGGCGTTTTGCCCGTACGGGTCGGATCGTCAGGTGTGTTTTGTCCCGTTGCACATTGCTGTTGTGTTGCTCGCCGCGCCAGCTGTAGGTCATTAATAATACCGTAGCGAGCTTCTGTTGCGGATGAATTGCATTGGATGCCTCTCTAACGGACTGTATCATCGAGGAGCCGCAGTCGCACCCGACCTAGGGTCAATGAACCGGCCTTGAGGGCCAGATGACTATCCACTTATCGTTTGTGGTTCGTGAGGCGGTGACTGGCCATTTTGTTGCGCGATTAGATGCATGCAATGAGAAGCTGTAATCGATGTATTGCCATGCTAGCTATAAACAACACAAGCGATCACGTCATGCAAGGGCTCGATACCCGCGTGGAGGACGCGTGTATCGTTCAACTGGTCGGCCGTGAACCAGCGGCGGCTGTATGTACTATGTAGGGATTAATGATATCCGACATAAACCTAACCTTTTTATGACCAGACACGAGCATAGACCACCAGAAGAGCACGCAATTAGTAGGTCACTGAGTGTTAAATTTGTGTTAAATGTAGCTTAAGCGTTCTGATAACTTGAGTCGCATCGCTCTGGCACATTTTCGGCAATTTCTTTTGTATGTGGATATTGACGCCACGAAGCCGTTGCGCCTATTTCAAAGAATCCATTAAACGCAGTGGGGTGTATTCAATATTCATGGTACCGCTTCGTGATAAGCGCTATACGGCGGTGCTTGGAGCTATTTCTGCGCCGATTCAACGAACCGACCCTGCTGCATGGAGGCTTTGCTCGTTGATTGTTTTGCCAAATCGTGCAAAGGTCAAGTAATCTGTCAGGAGTGGGTGATTTAACCCGTGACCTTCCAAGTCCTTTAAAAACTGTTGCGGGCTTAAATCAGCCCAGCTATTATGTTCTTACGGCGTTTCTGCTGCATTGTTGAATGAATTAGTCGTGACTGGCATGTGAGGTCTTTCCAAGTGAAATCAGACATAAATCGTTCTTTGGAGGAATGGATAGACCCTATCCATTCCTATCATTATGGTATAGGGTCATATTGGGACGTCATACTCGAGCAGTACATTTGTGCTTCCCGTCTCCACCACTCTTCTGCTGACCGTCGCCGAAACGCTACCTGTGTTTCCGTCTCGAACACGTCTCCTACGTTTCCCGCCTAGATTTCTCCCACATGTTTCCCATCACTTACTTTGCGCCCATTCATACACAGTACACACCACCTGTGTTTCGTTTTTCTTACGTTTTTCATTTCTTCCTTTTCAGTCCGGGCCAGAAGGCGCGAAATGAGGCGGAGAAACACCGGCGGGACCGCATCAACCGCGGCGTCAACACCATCTGCGGCATGGTCGGTCCCGCCTACATGAGCAAGCAGCAGAAGAAGATCGACAAGATCACCACCCTGCGGCTGGCCGCCAACTACATGAGGCGCGCATTCAGTAAGTGGGAGGATGGGTAGACCCGCGGACCTAGCCTGTTGGAATTATCGGCTGTCAGGGCATTGGCGGTTTGGTCGCAATGGCTCATTTGTTTCAAGTAACTAGTTCAAATAACTGAACTCTGCTTAGAACTCTATACATAAATGTTGTGGATTGAATCCACCGATGCATTTCAGCGTCTTTAGAATTGATCTTCTATGATATTCTACATATTTGTCTAGGCCTGTGAAAACTATTGCACAATGCAAGGATCTCCATCTAACCTACCTGTGAGTGTATGGCATGTCAAAATGTTCGTCTCAATTCCGAATATTGGTATACGGAGCGCGTGCAAATGGTGGATTAACTTAGGTATTGGATCTGTGTTACTGCGCAGCAAGCTAACGGACAGCCGGGCTCGTAACCATCATGGCTATTCAACCATTCAGACTACGTTTGTTGATATAATGTTGGAAATATCATCCACCAAAGCAGCCTGAATAGCTAATTATTTCGGATTCATAATGCGACGCATTTTCCTTCCCTGAAGCATACATACTTTTATAATATGGATATATTTATACTTAAAATAATTACATATCTTACGTAACGACCCAGCTTCACCTTTCCTTTGAGTAACGCTATACCCTGTCCAAAAATATCTCAATAATTGCATGCAACTGCGTGAAACCATGAAGCCGTAATGGGTTGTTCCCAGCTCATTAATCCAGCAAAGAGGGCCGCCTCAAAGTGCTACTTTGTGCTGGGCTTAATGGAAATCAAATCCCCACCAACGCGCGGTGTAAAGCACCGCTTCTTTGTTCGGCGCCCGTGCGCACGTCTCTTCAAATGTAAATGTCACCGAGAACTTGACACGCAGAATGGCACACGGGCCAGCCCACACCCACGTCATTGTCGATCTGTCTGCATAGGCTTTGCTTCAGATGAAACTGGCATATTTTATACCGAGTCACGGTAATGGGTCGGTAGTGCCCGGCTGGCTCACTATCTAGCCGTTTAAAACCGTCAGACGCTGGCCTGACGCCTGGCTCCCTCCCGGCTATGGACCGATCTCAGCGGTCGGCTGTGTTCAGGGCTCGGTAGTACCTAACTCTAGTATTGAGTGCTTACCATACGTGCCGAGCCGAGTCTCAGGCTGCATACAACGGAAGTATCCTGGGGGCAGACGGATACGGTATGTTAATTGTAAGATATCAATATATTTGTTTGGCTAAGTTGTAAAAGAACTGCAAATACACAGGATCAAACTTATGAACCTTCTGTTAATGACTCAAAAATTGCATGTTTTTGTATAACATTGCATGGCTGGTGTTCCCCATAGTTCATTATGCGTCAGAGCCGCCAACGCCCACATTTAAAAGTTTGTTTTCTTGAGCAGTGCGTATTTTGAGGCTGATCAAAATAGTTAGTACCTCTTGAGCATGCTACTGCTCTGGGAATAAATAATTAAACATTCTGATCTACAGGGTCTTTCATAATGAATGTTACTTTTGAACATTTAGTTAGGAGCTCTTAATTTATCACTTCCGCGTGAATTTTATATGCGTATTGTTGCAAATTGTTTAGGGTTTTGTCCCAAAAAATAAAAAATTCCCAACGCCAATTTTCCTTCACGGAAAAGCAGAGTATTTCGACACCACTAAAACGCATTACGGATTACGGTCGACGGACAAGTCTTCATCCATTGGCTCTCCCCTGGGTCAACACTGAACGGGGTGGCTTACCTCAGGCTGCTCAAGGAATGCTTCTGCCTCAGGTCAGGGACAAGGTTCAAAGAGACGGCCTGTGGTTCTAGCAGGATGGTGCCACAGTGTACACCACGGCAGCTGTTGCGCCAGTGGCTGATCGAGAATTTCGAAGAGCGCGTTATCGGCCGCCTCACCGAGCGACCATGGCCACCACGGAGTCCTGACCTCTCCCCGCTGGACTACTGGTTTTGGGGAGTCGCATTGGCTTGGCAGATCTGAGACAAAACCCTCCTGCAGCCATCCACTGCGAACCACAGTGGAGAGGTTTGCTGGAAGTCTGGACCCAGACGTTGTGAGGTGCGGGATGCGACACCTTCGTCAGAGGGCCGAAACCTGTGCCTTAATTAAGGGCGATACAGTGGAAAATTCCTGAGGAGCATTAAAATGAAAGTTGTATGTGCAAAAACGCTAATGTGTTTCTGTTTCATGTGATGGTACATATTACATGATGAACATATATGTCCTGAGAAATAGCTCTTTCAAAAGTAACATTCATTATGAAAGACCCTGTATTTGCAAGCTTCAAACCAAGTTTCTGCGATCTATTTTGACGACATATATCTTCATCGATGACACAGGAGCAGCTCTGGCCATCCAATCACTCCGCAATACCGTTGAATTCCGCTTTCCATCCACGGCCCATCACTGCAATCTTTGGCAACTTGGGCGCAGAGCTCCGCTTATTTTGCTCACCTTTGAAGGGAGTATATAGGGGATGGGGTCTGCGAATTGATGGAACGCTGCCGGGCGTACTTAGAACCGACACTGATTGGATGTGACGCGCCGCAGAGCCCTGGGCCTCGTTCACTGATGCGTTCGTCATGTGGTGTGACGTGTAGCGTGTCTCGGAGTCGTGTGATGACGTATGATGTGAGCTGATGTGGGCTGTGATGCTGCTGATAGTCCTATAGTATAAAGTGAAGCCAAATAGTTTGAGGGGCGTAAATGAAATTAATATACAGCATAGTAGAGTCCGTATGTGTAGAGCATCCCAAAAGACTGCGTTCTCTCTCTCTCTCTCTCTCTCTCTCTCTCTCTCTCTCTCTCTCTCTCTCTCTCTCTCTCTCTCTCTCTCTCTCTCTCTCTCTCTCTCTCTCTCTCTCTCTCTCTCTCTCCCTCTCCCTCTCCCTCTCCCTCTCCCTCTCCCTCTCCCTCTCCCTCTCCCTCTCCCTCTCCCTCTCCCTTCCTCCCCCATCCCTCCCTCTATCTCTCCCTGCGTCTCTTCTCCTCTGCCTATGTGTCGCCGTGTCTCCGACCGGCCACGGTCGATCCCCGTTCGACCGGCTCCGGCCCTCACCGGCCTTGTCAGTGCGGAAGGTCGGTCGATGACCGGCCGACTGCCGCGCGATGAGCAGCTCTAACCGAGCCAGCGCGGGTCGATATCTCGCCGCCCCGGCGCCAAATGTCGGCCACCGACCGCTGCCTCCCAGACGCGTGCAGGGTGGGTGGTTTACCAACGGAGTTTCGGAGGACGGGAGGAAAAATCGCTGTATGGAGCTGGGAGTGTTTGGCCCTGAGGCGTAGCTGGCGTTGTTTTCGTGGGAGCGTTCTGGGAATCCCTGCAAGTTCATTTTTCTTGTTGACGTATTTTCCACATGCAGCGCCTAAATTTATTCCGCGCCCTGTTTGAAAACACGAGAGATGATTAACGATGAGATGTGAGCTCGGCAAGTTCAGCGCAGCCTCGGATGCCGTGCAAGACAAACTAATGCAAATCCGGTGTTGGCGCATCAATGCACCGCTTGTATGTAGCGCCGGCACGAGAAGCGTGACGCGCTACTCCCCCGTGCCCGGTGAACCCGGCCGTGACGTCATGGTGACGTCACGTGACGCGGCGTCGGCGTGACGTGACGATTAGCAGCCGCCGAGCAGTGCACGCGCCGTGACGGCCCTCTCTGCTGGGTGTGACTGATGTCGGCTGTTTATGCACGTTTTTGTTGACCTCTGTGGCTGATGATAATGTGTAGGTGCGGTCTGTTCGCTCACGACTGCCACTGTCGGTTGAAGTGAAGTTGCGTGCCAAATGGTGTCACCTAGGTATGTGCAAACGAGCAATTTCAGAGGTAATATAAACTCTGCTCGTGAAATATGCTGCATGTTTTTGCGGTTTCATTATAAAAGGCTACATACATTTAGAACAGCTCTAACAACAGAGAAAAAACATTGTTTTACAGGAAAGGGCCTGTTTTGTTTCTACTTTTCATAACCAGTTTTGAATTGTTAAGCTGCTGAATTTTGTGTTTATATTTATCAAAACAAATCGTGCTTATGTAACTTAATTTGCACAAACTATGTCTTGTGTTGTTATGTTCTTTAAAAATCAAAACGCGATCTTTCAGAATTTACGAACCACGACAGTCATTATTTCTTACAGTGGGCAGTCTGTCACGTTTACTGCATGGTCCTTAGCCACCTGAAGGTTCTGCACACTCATGTCTAATTAACCTTATTGTAAGATAAATGATAAAAGATTTTGTACCTACTGTAGAATAGATAAATATTTTATTATTTCCCAAGTTCTTCCGCCTATTTCCTTGCCTTTTTGTGATAACTATTAACTACGAATAAGTTGTCTGAGTACTGCCTTTCTTACCACGATAAGATAAGGCATTTCATTGTGCCCTCAACACGCCAGCACAACATACTCCAACATTACAACATACTCCTCCCTCCCTCCCTCCCTCTCTCTCTCCCTCTCTCTCTCCCTCCCTCCCTCCCTCCCTCCCTCCCTCCCTCCCTCCCTCTCTCTCTCTCTCTCTCTCTCTCTCTCTCCCCTGCCCGTGTGTCGCCGTGTCTCCGACCGGCCGCGGTCGATCCCCGTTCGACCGGCTCCGGCCCTCACCGGCCTTGTCAGTGCGGAAGGTCGGTCGATGACCGGCCGACTGCCCCGCGATGAGCAGCTCAAGCCGAGCCAGCGCGGGTCGATATCTCGCCGCCCCGGCGCCAAATGTCGGCCACCGACCGCTGCCTCCCAGACGCGTGCAGGGTGGGTGTCTTACCAACGGTGCTTCGGAGGGCGGGAGGAAAAATCGCGGTATGGAGCTGGGAGTGTTTGGCCCTGAGGCGTAGCTGGCGTTGTTTTCGTGGGAGCGTTCTGGGAATCCCTGCAAGTTCATTTTTCTTGTTGACGTATTTTCCACATGTAGCGCCTAAATTTATTCCGCGCCCTGTTTGAAAACACGAGAGATGATTAACGATGAGATGTGAGCTCGGCAAGTTCGGCGCAGCCTCGGATGCCGTGCAAGACAAACT